GAATTCGTTTTAAAATAATTTTATTTTTTATATAAAAATAAAAATAAAATGTTTTTAATTTCAGACAGAAATTATTTTTAAAAATACGATTTTATAGTTTTATTAAAAGATTATTTTCAGTGAAAAAACTCATTAATGTCTCTATTTCCCTCTCTCTGCTCGATAGAAGAGAAAACGAAAATAAAAAATAAAAAACGACAAAAAGTTTCTCTCTCTCATTTTACACCAAACTAAAAAATCGTTTTTATTTTTATTTTTTGTCTTTATTGTGTCAAACACCGTTTTAAAAACGTTTTTATTTTTTTTTAAGGAACGATATTGGCTTTTCATCACACGATTATAATCGATCGATCAATTCAAAACATGAGTAGTTTCAAAAAGAGATGTCCACAAGAGAGTCTCTTATTCTACATACTTTGAAAAATTATGGGTGTGTTTAGAATTCGTTTTAAAATGAACGATATTGGCTTTTCATCACACGATTATAATCGATCGATCAATTCAAAACATGAGTAGTTTCAAAAAGAGATGTCCACAAGAGAGAGTCTCTTATTCTACATACTTTGAAAAATTATGGGTGTGTTTGGAATTCATTTTAAAATAATTTTATTTTTTGTATGAAAATAAATATGAAACGTTTTCAATTTCAGACAGAAATCATTTTTAAAAATGTGTTTGGTAATTTTATTAAGAGATTATTTTCAATGAAAAAACTCATTAATGTCTCTCTTTCTCTCTCTCTGCTCGATAGAAGAGAAAACGAAAACAAAAAAAAAAAACGACAAAAAGTTTATCTCTCTCATTTTACACTAAACTAAAAAATCATTTTTATTTCTGTTTTTTGTCTTTATTGTGTCAAACACCGTTTTAAAAATGTTATTTACACTAAACTAAAAAATCATTTTTATTTCCGTTTTTTGTCTTTATTGTGTCAAACACCGTTTTAAAAATGTTTTTATTTTTTTTTTGAAAAAGGTGAAAAATAAAAACGGGATTAATTTTAAACATGGCCTATAATTTTTACTTTTATTCTTTTACTGATTAAAAATAAAAGTAAAGGCTCTGTGTTCATACAAATCGTTTGTGTTCTGTTGTTTGTACTCCTTAAGTGTTGGCTCTTATACTATGATCCATACAACAAGAATTTGTTCCAAACATCAGCTTCTTTGACCAGTAGAATGCATCCTACTGTCTATTTTAATTTACTTCTCAACCCTTTTTTCTTTTCGAAGTATTCCCAAATCAACACGTAATACCCGTTTCCTAGTTAATGTCGTTTCCAGGCTGTTGTCGTTTTAATACATTAATGTCGTTTGCAACGTTGTTGTCGTTTTTCAAGGTAATTGTCATTTTATTTTATTTTTTTGAATTATTTATTGCTTTTTTTTTTTAAGTTAATGTTTCTGAGCTTGTTGTTGTTTTTCCTTTGTCTGGATTTTCAATTAATTTTGTTGTCGAGGTTATTTCCGTTTTTTGTGTTGTTTGAGGTAAGTGTCGTCCTCCTCGTTCTTAAAGGCTACTATCATCGTCTGATTCTTTGTTTTGTTTTTATGTGAATGTAGTTTTTGTGGTTATTGTCGTATTACATTTTATCGTCCTTTAATTGTTTCGTTTATTGTCCTTTATAAGCGGATGTCGTTTTCCTCGATATCATTCTAGTCTTTAGAATTGTAGTCGTATCATGAATACAGCGTTTCTCAACGTTCGACGTCGTTTTACTTTTAATGTCGTTTTCTTATTTGTGTCGTTTTTATTTCGTAATAAATTAATAAACAAATAGACATTTTACCTTTTGTGGGGTCCACTATTCTCCGGAACAAATAAAATAATCTCTGAGACGATCTCCCTCTCCCAAAAATTGAGCGCTCGTTCCTTCAGCCGTGAGGGGGTTTATCTAGGGTTCCTGACTGTCACTGGTAGACCTCGAACTAGCACCACAATTAACCATGGCGAAGCCTAGCCGAGGCCGTCGCTCGCCGTCCGGCTCGATTTCCGGCTCCTCTTCGCGCTCCCGCTCTCGCTCCTACTCCGGCTCCGATTCTCGCTCCAGCTCGCTTTCTCGCTCTCGCTCGCGCTCGCGATCTCGCTCCAGGTCCTCCTCCTCCAGTTCCTCTCCGTCTCACAGCGTTAGCTCTGGCAGCCGAAGCCCCCCTCCGTCCCGGAAAAGGTTTCTTCCTCTTTTCCTGTTTAGGGTTTCGATTTGTTGGAAATAGTTCCTTTTTCAGTTTTTCTATTGTTCGATGATGGAAAGATGGAAAATTTGTGCAATGAGGAATTTATCTGATTTCTTGGATTGTTTAGTTATGTTTGTGTTGTTTTCCTCCCATTAAAGGGGAATTTTCAATTAGGACTACCTTAATTTCATGATTTTGAATATATTAGTTTTTTAGGTTTTGTTAATAACCAAGAGGAGTTTCAATTGTAGGGTTCTCGGAAACTAACTGGTTAATGATGCATACTAACTGTCATAATTACGCAAGAATGCTGTTAATTTTTGCTTAAGTTGTGCGAAATATGATGGTATATTTATGTGTATTTTCTCTAAATCGTTGAGAATGTATTTTTCCCTTAGAACTTTACTTCTTTAGGTGTAAAGATACAAACTTTAACATTTTTTTTGGGTTCTTTGGATGTAATTGTGGTTTGTGTATCGCATTTTCTTCATGGTCCATCAAGATTTTAAGTATGTCGTTTGCACTTCTTTTGCAGTCCTGGTGAAACAGCTAGGCGGGGTCGCTCCCCACCACCTCAATCTAAAAGGGCTTCTCCTTCTCCAAGGTAAAGATTCAGCTAGAGTCTTAAACTTTGCTTGGTGGTTTCTCTCTCAAGGATTTCATATTTATATTGTTGACTCGCCTTTGATATTATTGCCTCCTAACGTTTGCAATAAATTTCAGGAAAGCTTCTCCTATTCATGAGTCACTTGTTCTTCACATTGACGCTCTCACCAGGAATGTGCACGAGGGCCATCTGCGAGAAATATTTAGTATGTTTTTGTTCTTATCACGTGGTATTAATTACTATGATGATTCTATTGATTAATGTCGCCTCTACCTGGTTGCAGTATGAGCTGTGATTTGTCTATAACCATAGTTGTTGGTGTACATTATCTTAGTATATGCAATTGGGAGATTCTTTACTTTCATTTTTGTTTTTCCTTCCTTTAAAGGACCCTTGGTTTTCTTGGACTTTCAACTTGTATTTTTCTAAGACAGATTTGGTTTCTTCTTTTCCTTTTTTCTTTTGGTATAAAGGCATATCATCTGATGGATGACTGATCAGCAAAACCTTTTCCATCCTTATTGTGCAAGTGAATTAATTTTTAGCTGTAAAACAAACAGCGTGGGTATTACCAAGAAATTTGAAAGCTATTGTGTGATTCATATTGATGTTTAACACTTACCAGTGGTATACTTGCTATGCATATGAAAAGTATTTTTTTTACCACCTTTTCCATGACTTCATAGGTAACTTTGGCGAGGTTGTCAATGTAGAGCTTGCAATGGATCGTATCGTAAGTTCTGACTATATGTTATATTTTTACATGGTTTTTTGTTTTTGTTTTTTTTTCCTCATAGAATTATCTGAAATCTAATTTACATTGTGCTGAAGGTCAATCTTCCAAAAGGATATGGGTACGTTGAGTTCAAGACCAGAGCGGATGCAGAGAAAGCACAATTGCACATGGATGGCGTAAGTTTTCATGAAATGTAGAAGTATGAGAATAGCATATCACGAAAATGATGGTTATTGATAAACCCTCATTGCAGGCTCAAATTGATGGAAATGTAGTTCGAGCAAGGTTCACATTACCTCAAAGACAGAAGGTTTCACCACCTCCTAAGGCTGCCACCTCTGCTCCAAAGAGAGATGCACCCAAAGCTGATAATCTCAGTGCTGAGAAGGATGGGCCGAAACGACCGAGGGAGCGTATGTTTATAAATTGAGATATATAAGTTTATGGCTTACATGTGTTACTTGTTTTGTCAATCATCCGAACCTATAATATGGACCTTTGGTTTCAGCTTCCCCTCGCCGGAAACCTCTACCCTCGCCACGAAGGAGATCCCCTGTTCCTCGTAGAGGTGGGTCACCGAGACGACTCCCTGATTCTCCTCCACGCCGACGCGGTGACTCTCCTCCTCCTCGTCGTCGAGTAGGGTCTCCTCACCGCCGTGGTGATACACCACCTAGAAGAAGGGTTGCATCTCCTGGAAGGGGTCGTTCTACATCCCCTCTGCCAAGGCGGAGATCACCTCCTCCTAGGTATGCACTTCCATCTCCTGCTTTTGTGTTTAAAGACTTGGACCAGTTATTCTTTACCACTTATGAATGATCATCATTTCGGCAGGGGATCCCCACCTAGAAGGATGCGTGGCAGCCCTGTTCGTAGACGCTCTCCCCTTCCTCCAAGGCGGCGGTAACTATGTTGATTATGTTATTCAAATTACAAATTAGTTTTACTTTCTATGCGATGCATCTTTTGGTTTCATCTCATTAGTATACTTGTTTTCACTCAGTTCCCCTCCAAGACGGGCCCGCAGTCCTCCTAGAAGATCTCCACTTCGTAGACGTAGCCGCTCTCCAATTCGTAGGCCTCTTCGGTCACGCTCTAGATCACTTTCACCAAGAAGGTAATATTTGGATATCCAAGACCCCTAAAGTTCTTTTTCCTATTTAAAAGCCCATGATCATCTACCACCATTGAATTCTCTTTATACTCTATAGTTCTACTTATTGTTATCTCATAATCTAACATGCCTGTTATCTTTTTATGTGTCTTCACAGAGGTCGAGGACCAGCTGGAAGGCGTGGGAGGTCGTCATCTTCTGAATCACCTAGTCCACGAAAGGTTTGTCTTTGTTTATTTGTTTTACTAGAGAACTTGCTTGCCGGGTAGCTTTTGACGTGGTGCTCGTTTCTTCTTGAACAGCTTAACCGGAGAATATCTCGTAGTCCAAGAAGGTAAAATGTCTTAAAAAATTTCTTTCTTTTGTAATATTCTTGTAATCTGAAGTAAAATATGAAGACACCAAGCAAGCGTAGTGCCTTTAATACAATGAAGTATGGACATGATATGTTATGCGAATATTTTTGCAAGATTTTATTCTCTACTTTCACTTTTTATTCTTATCATGAATCATGTTTATTATCGATGCTTGAGATTTTAGTATTTTCTCTGAGCAAAACCGCTACATATTTTAGGCCTTTGAGAGGAAGAAGCAGTAGCAACAGCTCTAGCAGCAGTTCCCCACCAAGGAAGCCTTAGGAACTGACTCATCCTCAGTCCCGCCGTCCTGCTTTCTCAGTATTATCAGCCATGAATGGTGTAATGTGAAATTTACTTGTGAGAGGCTGCATAGTCTTAGTTGATTCTCTAATTTAGTTGTTTCTGTATGAGAAGCTATATTACATTCAGCTTAAGAGTCTTTTGTTGCTTCATCGGCTTACCTCAAACCATTTCCTTGGTCGTTATTGTTCCTTTTCAGAACTCAATTTGGAGTAAAATGCGTTTTGAGTTGTAGCTAATATGATGTGAGAATTGTGCATAGACACGAGTTTCTATGGTAACTCAAAAACTTAATTTTTTTTTTCATCTTCCTTTTTTCCCTGGTGGAATTCGTTAATCCCAGATCCTGCTTAATACAATATGACATTATCAAAGTAAAGTAGTTGTAGGGCCCTCCACGCTTATTGTTTTGAGGACAGCCATTTGTTGCTTTTCCATAATCCTGCTACTTTTCTATGCATGGATTGGTCTTATTAGTTCTAGTCTGGTGTTGCGTATTTGCACACGGCCAAAAAACAAAAAAAAAAAAAAAATTTCGGTTTCTCACGTCAATTAGTATCATGGAATATTCTTTAAATATTCAGTCATATGAAATCGGCCATCGCTTCATGCAATTAATGTTATGAAGCTGATTGAAAACTCAAGTACTCAACACTTCAATTTTTGGGAGCGTTTACCTTGTTTAATTTTAGCCATATGCGTAAAGTTAAAATTTTTTTTTTAAAGTTTTGACAAAATTTTTTCCCAAGAATGATTCCTTATATTATATATGATACATGATATTTATAATTTCGTCTCCAGAAGATAGGAATTATTTTATTTTACCTCCTACGACTTAAGAATAGTTAGAAACATAAACTTTAATTCCAATTTTATATGAAAAAGAAACTCTAACAACTTGTACTTTATTGTACTATTCCCAGCTTAACTTTGTTGTACTAATTGTCGGGATATCTGCTGTTGTCATTTTTTGATTCATAGGTGTTTAAAAGATTGTTTCATAAATCAATAATAAACAAGTGCAGCTCTCAATATAAAAAAAAAAATAATAATAATAACAGATTAATAATAAACAAGTGCAGCTATCAATATAAAAAAAATGACAACTTACCACTACGTATGTTGCTATCAAAAAGTTGAAATTAAACTTGACGTTCTCATTAACAACTCGGAATAATATAAAATTTTCCTTACGTTTATTATAAGTTGTAATTTTGTGTTGTCTGAGGTTTACTTCTTGCTATTCGGATTTTATTCAAACGCAGGTATCGTAATTTGTTTTTGTTTGGATTTCTTTTGTTCGGCAATTCGATCATTTGTTAAACGAAGTTTTCTTTTGTTTCGGTTTCTTTTTTCTTTTGTATGTTCTTCTTGTTCAGATTTCATCTGTCTTCATTTCTTCGGGTTTTTTTTTTTTTTTTTTTTTTTTTTTTTTTTTTTTTTGGGTTTTTTTTTTTTTTTTTTTTTTTTTTCCGGATTTCAATGGTTGTAATTATTCTTTTGTTGCTAATTTCTTGTTTTGCATTTTTCATTGCATGAGTGCGTTTTCATTATTGTTGCTAATGTTATTCTTTCATAATGCTTTCGTCATTTTAAAAATGAAATTATCTATTCTTTGCATATAATATATTCTCATGTTTCATATCTAATTTAAATAATAAAATTATCTATTCTTTATTATGGTCACATCATGTTTTTTCTTTATTGTAATGTTGAATGATATTATTTTTTGTTTTGTAATTTTCTTTCATTAGGGTTTGATCATTATTTTAGAGAAAATATTTTTTTCTATTCATATTTCTTGTGAGATTTTATGTTTCTTTTTTTTTTTTTTT